CGGACTAAAAGGCACACAACTATATTAGCTCTGAATGGAATTGGTATTGAGACATATGGTTTCCAAGCAAAGATTAACCTGTAAGAACACAGTGCCTCCAAGACATGAAAGGGTAAGGTGCAGTTTGGCGCCCTCTTGTGATTCAATTTGACAGTTGTTATTTTTGGATGTACAATAGCCAGCTACATGTAACCACTTCCTTTTTGAGTAACGCAATCGAGATTATAGATTAGTGCCCTCTTGTGACCTACCTGCTGTCATTCTTGGACTGATGATTTCTGGATCCTTCTTCATGTCGCTCAGTGCAGCGAGGGGGATTCCCCAGTTAGCAACTGAACGATGTAATCAAAGGGAAGAAGATCACTTGAGCATGATGCCACATGGTGATATATGTGACTTCAACAAATTTGAAAGATCCTTGAAACTTGACAATTTCTTGGTAGAGTTTGATGAAGAAAGTGCCCTTTGAATTTTATCAAATTGGCAAATCTTCAATTGCATATTAAAAATTTTCAGTACCAGTGCTAATAAAAGCACATTACTCCAAGCATCTGTGGAACAATATGACTCTATCCCTGCCTAGAACTTTGTTTTAATAAATGAGAACCCTCTTAAAACTAATTAATTTACAACTTACCTGGACCCCAGAAATGCTGAAAAAAAGAAAAGAATTTCAGATCATTTAGAGTCAACGGTTAACTGTACTTGGAAATGTTGGATTCAAGTATTGGAATTGTTTTGAAATAATCACTGAATCTGAGTGATATTACCTGTATTTAGAAGACTGATTTTTTTTCTTAGGAAAAACAAAGGTAACACAAGATAAAAAGTTTGTTTTGGGCAATTTAAAATGCTCTTTAAACTGAGAATCAAGAAATCTCACTATTTCAGTAAAGTAGTGAAAGATTATAACCTTCAATTTAGAACTATTAAAAGTGAAGATTTTACAGTGGTTTAAAGGTTTAAGCAAAATATTCTTAAAGGGTACTTACAGTGCTGTTGTATCATTCCAAGGATGAACCATCAGGTTTCAGAAAGAAACAGAAAAATTGAAGTAATTGTCATTATCTGTCAAGTAATGCAACAAACTTAAAGGTGCACAATACTTCGGTATCAAAACAAACTCTAAAAAAGATATGACATATGTTTCTACAATGAATAGCTTATTAAAGTTCACCTCAGCTTTCAAGATAAGTTCCTTGATCTACATGTAGTTACATCAAACCATGATAAAGAATTAACAGCAGTAAAGTACTATCACCTTCAAACAACACTGTAGTGGTCAAGGTCACGGCTTGGATAAAGATAACACAATTAGCAGTTTGCAAGAACCGAATGCAGGTCAAATACATGCAGGACAGAAAAAGATAAAAGTCCTTCTTGATAAATATTAGGTCAGAGTGTATTCAGGTGTGTTGATGTGTACACTGCCCTTAATTTGGGGGATTAATATTTCAAAAAGTAGATCATCAGTTATTGGGAAAGTTGCTTAAATAATCTGATGGAAAATAAAATGGAACCTATGTCATGTGAAAGCTCAGTGTCCTATGTCCCACTCAGTGAAAATACTTCACAATTTTGGGGGCAAAATGGGGAACAGGCTTTAGGTAAAATGCAAAAAATGAATAACAAAAATGGGCAACCAACATTACGTGCAACATATGGGAAAGAAATCTATATATGGATGCCACTTGACACCCTCTGCACAAGCCCTGTGAGACTGGTCTGAACATTTTTTGCCCAAATGTTTTCTAATTCACTGCTACATTTGACTTTCAAAGACATGTTAGGGTCTCTTGCTTTCAGATAACATCCAATCTGAGTTTATCCCGATGGGTCTCTATACGTGCTGTCGTACATGGGAACAGGTCAACTCATACGCGTGCAAACTCGTACACCAACCAACTCGTACACCGACCAACTTGTAGGCAGATTGGTCAACTCGTATGTAAGCCAAGTCGTATGTAAGCCAGGTCGTACACTGACCAACTTGTACACCAACCAACTCGTACACCAACCAACTTGTACGCAGATTGGTCAACTCGTACGTCGACCAACTTGTATGCAAGCCAAGTCGTATGTAAGCCAGGTCGTACACCAACCAGGTCGTACACCAACCAGGTCGTACACCAACCAACTCGTACATCGACCAACTTGTAGGCAGATTGGTCAACTCGTACGCCAACAAACTCGTTCACGGACAAACTCGTATGCAAGTCAAGTCATACACTGACCAACTAGTAGCAGTACACCAACTCGTACATCACGTGTACGAGATGCAAATATGTACATATGTAGTGATCTCTTAAAGCAGAAATGTATTTGACATGATGGGTTCCTCAACCATGTGGTACAGAGGACACTATTTTCTGAAAAAGTACACCAAAAATCTCCGCAGCTTAAATTCTATTTCAGAAAAAGATCTGCCTAGGTACATAAAACATTCTTCAAAATCCCAGTTCCATTTTTCTTTTCAGCGGTCCGGGTCTCTTGGGAAGAAAAGCTACCTGAAACTCTCGCATCAAATATCTTTTGCATAAAAAGACTTACGCTAAAGTTACAGTGTCTCACTGAGCAGAAAGCCGAACATATTTTCCTGAACGTTTGAACTCAACAAAGTATGCAACTACATGGCATACGAGTTGGTTGGCGTACAAGTTGGTCGATGTATGAGTTGGCATGCGTACAAGTTGACCAGCAATCAGCATTCTAGTAAGTAGTAGTTGCAGAAGTATGCTGCTTGCATGTGTAGTTAGCAGTCAATATTCGCATGATCCAGGGAGCTAACCTGAAAAAATACTGTGCCCATGACAACTCCGTCTCCACTGGCTTCTTGGCCGCTGAGCTACCGTCCGATGCAGCATATCTTCGGCAGACATGACCCTGTGTCCTCAGAAAATTTGCAGTTCTCTTGCTGAACAAATTGCCTGCTGACCGCACACAAACTGCCATCACTCGGCTCATCAGTTTCAACTACATGTAACAGATAGGGCCTAGGCCTATAAAGTGGATAATTTGAAGCCGCTAGACCATGTAGACAGATTCACGCATAAATCACGGTTTCAAAAGCCACCGATTTCTGGACTTTGATGTATTTTCTTTACTGGGTGTCCCAAGTCCACAGATTACAGCCAACGAGTGGAGGAGTGGTGATCAATATCTAATAATATAATATAACCTGACATGGAGTGGATGATTACGAGGCGATCGTCCACAAATCCCCCATCGAGCGCTGGTCCAGTCTGTCCCCTTGACGCGCGCCCTCTGCTGAACCATAGACCTGGAGGACAACCTTTAACTAAAGGGGGCGCTAATCTCACTAGCACGACACCAACTTCCTATTCCTGATGAACCTGATATGGATTAGGCCTACTTGAACAGAATAAAAATATTGAAAGTTCAGCTTGGAAGAATAACACGTGAAGTACTGGACGATGATTTGTTAATAACCGGTCAGGCGGTAAATTGATATAATTCTGATGTTTACTTGAGAAGGATCGTTTGAATTGTTGTCATCAATTGGAACTTTTTTGCATGTTTTTGTGTGGTCTTTAATCTTTGACATTTGTGGAACTCGATTTTTACAATACAAGTACCATTAACACAGTCCATTGCCACAGCATAGTGGAACACCTCTCATCTTAGGCCTAATACCTTAATGTCCTTGCTCTACCGTCTATGGTTTTGTACAGCTCTACCGTTGAGGTTTGATCGATGATCAAGTGTGAAACATGGGTGATCGGCTCATAAACGAAGGAGTTAAGTGGATGTTGGTGGTGAGTTCAGAGTTTGGATTCACCTTTTGATTCACTTAAAGTCATGACATTGACAGTCGATTGGTATTAACAACATAATTAAAATTATAACTCGTTAGTACTAGTACCCCTACCCCAGAACTATGGGGTCCAACGTCTGCGTGGGAGTGGGGTGGATGCGTCTGGGGGTAGTTCTTTTTGTTCTGAGGGTAGGCCTACCCGTTATCATAGGGCTTGTCATCTGCCTTGTTCAGCGTGGTGGATGATGAGCCCCCATACACATGCTTAGGGGCAACTGGATTAGTTGGCCAGACTCACTGCTCCCTGGCAACGCCAATGGTATAATAAGAAATGGAGGGGCTGGAGGTCACAGTTTTGAGCAGGGGGAAGTGCCAGGTCCCTTATTTCACCACTTACTGTGAAAACCAATCAGACTTGACAATAGGTGGTGAAATTGTAGACCTGGTGACTGCACGGCCTCATTTGTTGAACACAGCCAGGTTGGTTGGGAGTGTATTTGTTTTGTTGGTAGTGATGTGACCTTAACATGCATTTGGTAGTCATTCGTGAACCAGAAAAGTGCAGTTCCGACCAAAGGTGCCTCCATAGCTAGGAAAATTGCGCCCTCTCTTGGTCCGGCTCGGGGCTCATACAGACAAAGATATTAGAACTACATGTAGTGGGTAGCCTCTAGAAGTGGGGTAATGACTGTACATTGCAGGGCAACCTATGTATGGGGGGTATGCCTTACATACCTTCCCCTACATTATGCCACTGCCTCAGTTGGTCTTTCTACTATCGTTAATCATGTGGCATGATCTGTCTACCTTTTTACCATCAGCAAATCATATTTTCTTTCAACTCGTGGTTTGGAAGAATTTTTTTGAAAAGGGAAAATTAAAGCCTAAGATTTCTCCAAGTATCAACAAACAATGCAGTTTGATCAATTGATTGTGTAGCTGAAGCAAGCTTTCTCAACATTATGATCAATAAAAGTTTGAATAAAGTACATTGCACAGTGATTACTTGTCTGTGATTGATGCTTCTTTTTTTGCAGTTTTTATGGTTTTTGGCCAACCTCATTGCTTGGTTAGCATCATATTTCACCTACACTAATTCCGATGAGTATTTCTACATCAGAATTCTCATGGGGGTGAGTTTGTCTTTCAAATTATTTGACAGTACCCAGTCAGAAATACATGATGGGTTTTAAAAAGTATGCAGTGCAAGTCTCCAGTGGTGAAATTTTACATTAGTGACAGCATGAATAAGCTTTCAAAGTTTTTATCAAGGCTCATTGTTGAAAATGGCAGCTTCTCCAATTTCATCCAGTCATTTTGTCAAATAAAAACAAAAAGGTTAAAAGCATTGAAAAAATAAACAAATAAATGTAGTTAAAAACATTAAAGAAATGTAAACATTCAAAAATGCTTCCCTAGTTAAGATGAAACATGCCCTTTTATACATGTACCTGTTTCTAGGCAAGCCTTCCTGTCGCTAGGGCAAGTGCTACATGTCTGAATCTCAACAGTATGATGATTTTGCTCCCAGTCTGTCGCAACATCATCTCCTTCCTCAGAGGTTCTTGTGAGGCAAATAAGGTAAGACATCTCCCTATTCTGTGCATCGTCGTGTTGAACTTGAAGGACGTTGAAAGAGAATTAGACCAAGGAAGATACATTGAAGAAAGTAATTAGCCATGAGTCCTGCTTTGTTCCTTGACTCATCCTCTCTTCCTGTCTTGCAGAACTTCATCTTGTTCCTTCGAGATTCTCATTTGATGAGAAATTTCATCAGCTGTGTCAAAGCAAAGCACTCTTCTGCATCATCTGCCTCAGCAAATAATCATTATTTCAGCCAATTTTTTACACATTTGAAACATATATATTTCTTGAGCCATTAAAAAAAATTGCCATCTAGAAAGAAAATTTCAGATATGTTATTCACTAAAATATTATACGATGATTTTCACTTGTACCCGACTGCTGAACCTTTCTTTTTGCCATTTCATCAATTGTGTTTCTCTCTTGATTTTAGTACTACCGTCGTAATCTACGACGTCAGCTGGATAAGAACATTACCTTCCACAAGGTGGTTGCCTATTTGATTGTTTTCTTCACTATCATCCACGTTGTTAGTCATTGTTTCAATGCGCAACATTTGTACGACTCATCCACCGGGGTTCGTGGACCATTGGCTTCTCTCTTAAGCTTACAAGTGACAAAATCCGGAAATCGTCTCAATCCTATTCAAGTCATTGATAAGGTACAAACTCATCCTTTTTGCCTTGTATTGTATCATCTGTTTTACTTTTACAAATGCCCATGTCCTCATGAAAGCAGATTAACTTCCAACTGAGTTTGGATATTTCAAACATAGTCATTTTCCTGCCAATCAGGGCTAATCGTTCTTTTATTCTTATTCCCCAACCCTAGAGTCCCCTCGGTCTTACACTGATTGAGAAAACATTGCAGCTTCTACCTGGCTGGACAGGTGCAGTCCTTACATTAGCTCTAATTGTCATGTTTTCATCATCGACTGAATTCATCAGGTAAGTTGGTTGAATCCATTAACACATTTTCACAGATTGACCATTTGAGTTCTGTCCATTATACGAGTAATGTTTAGCAGAATCACTGAAATTAATTTTACATTATCAATAATTGTATTATCAAATTTCAAACAGTTCACTACTTTTTCAGAAATTTATTCATGAATAACCATCTATGTGATGACAAATTTCTTGATGTTAGTGATATTTCATCACAGTTTCAATCACTATTTGATGTCCCATTTTATACTTTACTATATACCTGATATATATTTCACCTGTTTATCTGATTCATTTCACCTGTTTCCTGGATAAAGTGCAACTACCAGGAAGTATAGTAGGAAGATCAGGGATTTCCTTACCTATCATTTTATGTTCTGGGTTTGACCTAATATGTGTAGTAGATTCGGGGGATGTCACCAGCTTGAGTTTGAATCACTGTGAAAGGGCAGTCGTTAGAAATTGTCAAAGTTTCCAGTCAATTCAACATGGCTTGCTCTGAAAAACGCGTCCAAGTTTACAGTTAATGTAGTTTATTTAGATCACTTTGAAAAACAAGAAATTGATTTTCAACCTGTGTAGTGTGTGACAAAAATCACAAATAAAATATTATTAAAATATCTTTAATTATCTGATATATTAGGGAAGTTACTATCCAGTTTATATGATGTAATAAGTGGGTGGACACGTTACCTGTCATTTATTTTGTAGGCGATCATACTTTGAGATGTTCTGGTTTACACATCATCTCTTCATCCTTTACTTTGTGATGATTCTCGCACATGGAGCGGCGTAAGTCTTGTCAATCTGATCTTTTTCTTCCAATTATCAAACAAATCATTTAGAATTTTTTTTTAAATTTAATTTGAATTTCCACAAAAGTTAAAAGGATTGTTCAAAGTTGCCGTTAGGAACATCCTCATTTTCGTCCAACTCACATGTAAAATTAGCTACCAGTTCTTTTTTGAGTTGCCACTGTAGTTAATTTTAAATTTCAGTCAATAAACAAAACTCATTTTCAAATGAAATAAGTTCTAAAATTGAATTTGCAGTTGGTTAAATTTTATGATTTGTTGTATGATAATTTTTTTTATTTTTAGTGGTATCGTAAGCCGGCAGTCAAATGTAGCTGACCACAATCCTAAGACATGTTCTGAAATCTTTACCGAGTGGCCAACTGATGAATGTCCCAAGCCAGAATTTATCAATGGATCAGCTGGAGTAAGTATTGATCAAGACTGACAAGGTTGGTGATAATAATCACACATTTAGACTGCTATTTCCAGGACAAGGCTGGTGATAATAACCACACATTTAGTAATGATAGTGTGAAATATTAAACTGAGACCATTGAGGGCAGCTTGTTCATTCAGATAAAATTTGGTTGTTTCATGATCACTCATTGTAAGGCCAAACAAAAAAATAGCCGCGTTTCTGGTGACTCGACTCAACCTAAAAATCACATGGAACCTTTTAATTCGACAAATCTATAAAATATAAAAACTTATGATGCCTTGCCCCAAGCCTAACTTTGTGTACATTGTCCTGTATATTGTATTGTTTTATTTATTTATATTTTGCATGAGATAGACGGCTCTTGTGTGTTCCTATTTCAACAACCAACTGCGTTACTACTCAATCACAGTGCTGATATGTAATGCTGACGTGCACATGTACCGTACATGTATTAATCTGACACTGACTTAGTACCTGTTACAAATATACGTTCCCCCCCCAAAAAAAAAAATACAGACCATCATCCCACCCAAATTTTTGGGGCTATAAAAATGTAGAGTAAAAAAAAATATTGTACCCAACCCACCACCCTAATTTATATTTCAGTGTAATAGGAAACACTCATTTTTTGTTTGACCTTATATGCATTGAGCCAGCATGACAAGAACCACGTAAACTATTCTGATTCCTGATTCCTGTCAAGAGAAATCAACCCCATTTTTCTGCAGTGATCTGTAAGGGTGCAAGAAATTGCAGACTTGTTTTTCCGTTTTATTTCAGTGACAAGTCGATAGCACACTATTACTATTAATTAACAGCAATATTTTCCAGGATAATAATATACAATTATGGACTGCAGCGAGGTCACTAGTGCACCTCTATATGCCCCAAGGGGCTATGAGGGATATAGGGCCAATGTCTGGTCACTCACAAGCCTAACGGGATATACAAGTTAGTGATTGAATAATGGCAATCTACATTCATGCTATAACACACCTCTCTCCGGAATATTAAAAAAAGGAGTGACACCTTTAGAACTGTTCTAACTATTAGTGTAAATAAAATAAAGTGTGAAAACAATACCACAGTATGAAAAATCAAATCAGCTGTGCACATCTGAGCATGAGCTGTATATATACATGTAGATAGAATTGATGAGTGGATTATTTAAAGATATTGAGCTTGTTAAAAGTGTTACATTTATCTTGCCGTTTTATCAAATGTTTGCACTGAATACAACTCTTTCTCTTCATCTGTATACCATGAGTGGTGTAATATTCCACAACAGACAACAGAGGGAAAAATAGGAAATTCTAAACTTTCTCCAAGTAATCAAGTCATAACTCTGCTAATGGCAGATTAGATACCAGCTGGCAATCACCATCAAGAAAGATAGGCATATCAAGGGTACAGCATCGTTAAGCACTCCTTTATTGGAGCAAATATTGGCCATCATAGCTGTCATTTACATTCAAAGAGCCAGACTGATATTTACCTCTTTTAAGTTTGATTGATGGAGTTGTTTTGTTAACTTCTTTTACAAGGTGCGCAGACTGTGGAAGAGAATGGTCACTAATTATTTTGGTTATCTTTGAAAGATAGAATCGCTAGGTATCACAAGAGAACTTTATATTGATTCAGTTCTCTTTTTTTCTGGCGAATTAGTATTCCCTATAAAGTTCCTGCATCAGTAACCTGCCCCATTTTGGTTAACTCTAACAGTCCTCAATCCCTCAATTTTAATATGATTTGTCACACACCTGGGGGGGGGTTATTACTGCTAAGCTTCTTAGTACAGAAAATTTGGGGTAGCAGAAACTATTAAGTTTGAATTTAAATTGGATTACATAAATGTGCAAGCAGACCGTACACAGTATTTTTGAAATGGCATGAACAGAAATAAAAGTTAAGTTAAAATATTCACAGCACAGTGCACACAAACATTTCATGATTTTGAAAATCCTAAGGCATATTTTGTCGAGACTGAAACAGTTCTGTCTATGTTTGTCGATGTAATGTTCTAAATTATTCTTATCTTTTTTATCCTATAAAAGTTAATCTGTACAATCTCTACACACATACCAGTAATACCTACAAATTTGGAATTTGTAAGGCTGAGGGACAGCAAGGTATCATTCATGATTCAGGAGTATAATTGATATTACAGACATAAAGAGAACAGAATCTGTCACAAATGCGCTCAGTTGACAACCAAATTCACCAAAGGGCCATCTGTCCATGGCTGATGCTATGATGTTGAGTGTTGATGTCAAACCCACGAGGAGATCATACACAGCCAGCGTCATCATCAAAACCTTGGTGCTGTCGGCTAAGTGTGTTATGTGCCGTGTCACGGCAATGGAGAGGATATTCCCTGTTATGATCAGCAGCACCAGGAGAGAGATGCAAGTTGTACGAAGACCAATCAGAAATGGAGAAAGCTCAGAGGATAGAAGGGACCATCAGCTGATGAATTAAACATTTTCCAAATTGTGTCGTCAGAACAGACAAGACCCCAGTCACCAGTAATTCTTGAATGAAGAGATGACCTACATGCTCCGGTGAAATTTCCAAATTGTTGCTGGTACACTCAAGTTGCCTGTGCAAAACTTCACCGTAGCCTAACAAACTTTTGAAATGTTGTTTCAAGCTTGATGACAGAGCGAGACAAAACTGTACATGTACAAGTCTTGTGGTCTCGTATGCACCTGTAGTTTGCACTGAAATGACGAGAGGCTATAAAGCAGAGATGAGTTGTATGATTGGTGTCTAATAACACCGTCATCGTCTCCCCACAGGTGGAGGGGTGTACCATCACTGACTTGACTTGCTCACAGAGAGATCTTACCATTCAATAAAGATGATGATTGGTTCGGTAAATGCCCAACCCTGTGTTGCCATGCCAACAATAGTAGCTTATTAATATGAACTGTTACTGAATGCTTCATTTCCTTTTCTTGCACTGAATGGGCAGATTCAGTAAGTAATAGTGTTAATAGTTAGGTATTCACTGGTCCAACAGCTGTCCGTTTACAGCATTGGAGTTTCTCTGTGATTATCTTCTTGGCTGTCCGACGGTAAGTTTGGTTGAAGAGACAGTAGATAAACACATTGAACACACTGTTGACGATGTAGAGTGATATTACCAGAAAGGAAAGTAGGTCAGAGGTCGCCTTGCCGCTGTAATATTCCACTAGTCGTGCCACCAGATATGGCGTGTAACAGCAAACAAATGATAAAGTGACCATGAAAAACGTCTTCAGAGCTTTATTGTTCTGCATATCGGCAGCTTCATTTGGACCATTGCGGTTGTTTCGTCGTTCATGTTGGCGACTAATTTTAATCAGCCGATAATAGATAAATATCATGGATATTGTTGGTAATATGCTGACCGAAAGAATGGTTAATATATTAATGATCTCACTGTTGTTTGATGGAAAGCACACTGCTGCAGCCGAAATGTATGTTCCTTTTATGCCGTAGAGTGGCGTCAACAGAACTGTTTGTATTAAAGATAGAATTGATACCCCTAGTATCAGGATAATTACACGACGTCTCGTACACCAAAGAGGGAATTTATAGGGCCAGACCACGGCAATGTATCGCTCAATATTCAGATTAATCATAGATTGCAGAGACATAATTGAAACAAACGATTTTATTGCTGACATCATGTGACAGCTGAGTTCACCAAAGGGCCATCTGTCCATGGCGGATGAGATGATACTAAACAATGTTGTGATGCCGATGAGGAGGTCATACACGGCCAGTGATGTCATCAAGACCTTGGTGCTCTCGGCCAAGTTGGTCACACGGTGCGTCACGGTGATGGAGAGAATGTTGCCGGCAATGATCAGGAGACCAAGGAAAGTGATGAAGCAAGTACGGAGGGCAATGAGGAATGGGGAGATTGTTGATGTTGGAAAAGGATCGATCGATGAATTGGACATGTTGAAATGATATCACTGTCTACAGTCTATGGAGAGTGGCTCCTGCAATCCCCTCTCAAAGACCACCACCATCTGGCGATGATGTGCCCAAAAATCCAGCTGTGTATCTCTTTGGTCCCAGTTTCTGCAGATCCTTACCAGTGATAGAACAAAGCAGGCTGGCACATGTAATCAAAGAGCAGAAAAGGTCCCCTGAAGTCTTTTAGTAAGTCTTCAAAAAGCTTCCCTCAGTACAGAGATCCTTTGTCCAAGTTCTCACTTGACATTTAATTGATACAACTCTCAGTAAAGCTTGCGTTGAGACAAGACTTACTCCATTTCGTAACCGGTTGCCTTCTTGGTCCTGTTTTGCTGTTCATCCAATGAACGTCACAACTGGATCCTTCAGTGTCAGGTGATCATGATTAGTCGGGGTCAGTTAGTATTAAGCCTCCTTCACAGATACCAACATGATGAAACAAACTCTGTGTTGTCACCAAACACTCTCTTCCTTTGCCATTACTATCTTGAATGTGCTCTCACAGTAGGAGCAGGTAGACCTTGATAGCACAATTAGAACAATATTTGTGTACTGCTGAGTTTCTGTTGATGATGCCTAGCTCGATAAAAATCATCGTGGATTCATCAAGATGTGGTATACCTGTTGCCTATAGCAACAGAAGATGTATTGCTGTCACTCTAATGCAGCTTTTATTGAGTCCTGTTTAGTTTAACTGTAAGAGCGTTATTTTGTGTCCTCCCAAGTTAATTATCAGAGGCAAAATTGCATTTCACTGTCAAGTCTTGGGCTGGGTTAATTAAGTGTCACTCATCATTACTGATTGAATCAATTTCACACACAAAAAACAGTCTCATTATTCAACGCTCAGTAAATACCTGTAAGGAAAAGCCCGTCTCTGACGATTCTCCCCTATGTAAATGTAATAATGTATACCCTTACATTAATTTGAGTGATATTGAGTGGATATTTTGACGTAGGTTTGCAGAAGGTCTTGCAATAAAGAGGAGCTGAAGATTCGGATGTGTGGGTCCATTTACTAATTCTACTTAAAAAGTTGATTAATGATGTTTAATCATGAAATAATTAATGATGATGAAACAAGGAACTTTTAGGGTACCTTTTGTGACAAGTATACTTCTCCTTTTTTCTTGCTTATTTTACACTTTCTGTTATCTCCCTCTCGTACATTTATCACATAGTCCTGGAAGTGGCTTCTTTTTCCCATGGTGTGCTATGTCTTTGAGAGGATGTTTCGACTGTACAGAGCATGGCAAACCAGCATCATCACCAAGGTATGTACGCAAGGACTTGGGTATCTCTTTCTAAGCCTTTTGTGAATTAAATTTGAATAAAATCTGGTGCTCTGAGTTATTTTAATTCACGTGAACATAACAATTTGAATGCTCCATACTAAAGACACTGTTGCTACACCTCGTGCATCTGGGCAAGCTGTTGCTTAGTTACATCAGCCTGAGAGATGTCTTGCACCGATACACTGTTTTTAATAGACACAAAGGAACCAGTCCATTCCAGAGATGGCGGTCGCTCTGCAAAAGCTTGCCCTTAATCACGAGGTATAGCAACAGTATCTTTAGTATAGATCAGTCAAATCATTATGTTTATGTGTAATCTGACAACCCAGTGTACCAGATTTTACTCAGAATTAACTAGCAAAAGGCTTATTGCAATGAAATCTGCATTCAAGCAACAATATGAAAATAATGAGGAAAAGTGTAACAAATTACCGCTGGCAAGTTGTTGATTTATTCCGTCTCAGAATCCAGAAGGTGTCAGAATATTCAATATGTTACCTCACACGACCTCATTTCATTGAGGTCAGGGCCATTGGTCTAATATAACCTTAAGATATTGTGTCCTTCTGACCTACAGGTAAAGTACACCTACATGTGATATGAGGACAAGTCTCTAGTCTCCCATGCTACTCATTATCCCATCCTATAGTTCAGGTCACCAGTCTCATTCAGTCCCTTGTTTTCATCTTGTAGGTTGTTCAACATCCTTCCAACGTTATTGAGATTCAGATGAAAAAACAAGGATTTAAGATGCTCCCAGGTCAATACGTCTTCTTGCTGTGTCCTTCCATTTCAAGATTACAGTGGCACCCCTTCACACTGACCTCAGTAAGTTCAATCACGTTGTGAGATTTTCAGGATAAAGCTCCTCTTGCTCCTCTGTTTTCTGAGGTCAACTTTTCTTCGACTTTGAAACTGTTCTTTGAAGGTGTTGTTGCAGAAACATTTCATTCTTATTCTGTTATTGTCTCACTAGGCACCTGAGGAGGAGTTTCTGAGTGTTCACATTCGAATTGTTGGTGACTGGACGAATAAATTGAAGGAAAAACTCGGAGCGGACCAAGGAGAGCAGTCAGTAGCACAACTGCCCAGGTATTCAAAAATAACAATGATGTCATCGTGTCACCCATGATATAGTAAATGGACACATGTAGATGAATTGTTGGTGACTGGACGAATAAACTGAAGGAGAAACTCGGAGGGGACCAGGGAGAGCAGTCTGTAGCACAACTGCTCAGGTATTCAAAAATAACGATGATGTCATCGTGTCACCCCGATATGGTACATTGACACAACATTGTACACATTGCATTGTCTTGCTCTTTGTTTTTCCTTGAAGGAAATGTTTCTTCTTTTTTTTTCAAATGTTTACATCACCCTTCACCAGCATCGCAATAGATGGTCCATTTGGTACTGCAAGTATCGACATATTTGAGTACGAGGTTGGGATTTGCATCGGAGCTGGTATTGGAGTCACGCCATTTGCATCTATTCTCAAATCAATCTCGTAAGTTGGAAACTGTTATATGTAGTCACAGTGTGAGTATTGCTAACGCAGTTTGCAGAAGATCAATTGGGCAGTTGAAACATTGGTTTCTAGAATATTATGCAGCATAATTTGTTGTCGCTTCATTTCTCATGTTAGCCACAAGCTTCTTAGCCCAGAATTTGAGCTGAAACTCAGAAAGGTCTACTTCTTCTGGATTTGCCGAGACACTAACGCCTTTGAGTGGTTCACCGAGATGTTGCAGTCGTTGGAATCCATGTTGATCGAGAATGGTCAGAGAGAGTTCTTGGAGTACCATATCTACCTCACCAGGGGCTGGAGTCACAGACAGGTTAATGTTGGAAATGTTTGATATCAACGCTTCTGTAAATCTGAATCATAAAGATAACACTCTAGGCACTTAACGATTCATCAACGTAGCTTTTCCTTTCCAAATGGTAACATCTTTATTTAATGAAGAGCTGCACATCTTTGAATCTAAATTGTGGAATGAATCCCATTCTCTAATGACGTGACATCTTCTGCATCCTGTTTTCGAAGGCCAAGAATATCTATCTTCAGGAGGAACAAGAAGTGGATGCGATCACCGGCTTGAGACAGAAGACAAATTACGGTCGGCCAAAATGGGACGACACCTTTAAGATGATCGCTGAAAACAATTCGGGGTAAGTCAGTCAAATAGTAACCTTGATAGACCACAGTATCACCAATGATTCAACCCTTTGTTCTCAAAGTAGATGTTATTTTTTATCAAAAGGTTACAGGCACTTCTGACAGAAAAATTAAGACTTTGAGGAAAAACAACCACTACAACGAAACACTTCATTTGAACATTCACATCATCATTTTTTTCCAGAACAGTCAGACCATAGTTTTTAGGAAGATACAGATCAGAGCTTGTCCTGCTGGGACATGTCCACTATAGTTTTTAGGAAGATACAGATCAGAGCTTGTCATGCTGGGACATGTCCACTTGGTGCATATCAAAAAGCCAATTTTTCTAAGCCTCTGATACAGACTAAATTTTGGAAACTTTGCAGAGTGAATGCTGGAGTCTTCTTCTGTGGTCCTAAGAGTCTCTCCACCGTGTTACACAAGTGTTGCAATCGGCACTCCAGCCTTAAACCAGACGGCTGCCGTTTCTTCTACAACAAGGAAAACTTCTAACCCAAATGACCAAACAGTTTCACAAAAATGTGGACAAATGTGTTTTCACAGAAAATGTGAAAGTAGCCGTCTTTCAACAAATTTGTGCCAATCATAACAATAAGTAAAATTGTGCTTTAGATCGCAATTGATTGTAAATTTAAATGTGGCAATATTTAATGGCATGCATATTTGTAACAGTATCTCTATCATCAAGAGAAAAGTATATCCTTGAATTCTTTATTTCCTCTCTGCTAGTTCATTCCAAGCATTTGACCAAACTGCAGTGCTGTAGAATCAGTGTAAAATATTGTACACAGAAGTTTTCATGTGGTCAGACTTTTTTCTTCAATGGGAGACACTGAGGTGCTTGGTGGTGGCAGACACAATGATCCTTGTTGGTTGATGTGGGCATGCGCTTGCAGTTCTCGGCATGCGTGTTAGTTCTGAGCACACACACGACCGGGGAAAAGGACCAGTTTGTCTGCTGCCACCATGCGTCTCAAAGTCCCCCACTGTGTTTGCTGGATTTAACCAAATTATCATAATAAACCTATTTCACGATTCATGTGCGCACACTCTGAATATTTAACAGAGGGGAACAAATTCATGACATTGCATGACATTTGGCGACTGGTTGCTCGCGATAGTTATTGTTGTAGACAATTTGTTCCCCTCAACCAGCTTTGTTCAGTTATTTGCGCGGGGAATGCTAAAATCAATATGGCAACTACTGATCTAAAAAGAAAATATGAGATTTTCCTTTGTTGTAACATGATTATTAGATGTATTATTAGACAAACAGTATTTGAATATGTTCCATGAATAAGTTGAATTTTATACAGTCTAACGAAGTGCACATGGAGTGAGGTATTCCATAGGGATAATTGCTACACATGGAGGGCAAGTGCAGCAATTTTCGACCAGGAGGAAAATTCGACCAACTGCATTCAAACACTACACAGCTGGTCGAATTTCTTACTTTTTTTATGGGGTCAAATACCCACGTGCACCTTCACTCACCCCAAATACAGGCCCCAAGTAAGCATGGCCATAGGCCAAGTCACATGCACAGAACATGTTTGACCAGGTGTGACATCATAACCGATTAACTCAGCTTTTTTATCAAAATAAATTCTTACTGAATCTAATTTCGATATCAAGCAAACAGCCTAGGCATTAGATGCTTCAGGAATACAGTGTCCATTTGTACCACTAAAACTCTGCTGTAAGAAAAAACCCAAAGTGACTCACCTACCTCCCAACATTGTCGGCTTGTGTCCTTGCTACAGTATTTAGTCCTTCCAAAAAATCATTTGTCTGAGCCCCCAGTGCCTAATTCTGACAGAACTTATGTGTTTTAGTGAGTCATGGTGAGACTGTGACTTCAAGGCACCAGACCAAGGTAGCTCTATTGAAAGAGTGCCAAATGACCATTGTGGCCAAACATAATTTGACCAGCATTACAAAGTATATAACAGTGTGTAGTAATTTCATATTAAGATTTTTTTCACATTTCAAAGAAAGTGCCTTATTGTGCTTTATTGAACTGATGTTTGGTTGATGACTTCAAAATGCCAAACTACATTTTCAATTTTAGTCGATTGTGCTTGGTGGTGTTTGTTGTAAATGTAGAGTTTTATAATATTTTAAATTTGGTCCTGTGCTTGAGTACCAATTTTACAAGACAAATTATACACATAATTGTGCCTTTCAGTTCTCCTTTGAATGTCCATATCACAATATCAAAGTCTGTTGAGAACTCTGCCTTAAGTTATTCTAATTTTTCTTGGACCAAGTATTACTTGTAGTTCCAGAGACTTATTTCTGGAGAAACAAAAGGGTAAAAATCACGGACTACATAAAAGCAAAGATACAAATTAGTGTTCGTTCCAATAATGACAACATGTAGCCTATGTATATTTATGTAGTGTTCATACCATTTTATACATATATTGTATATATTGGCATTTGACTTCTCGTACATGTATTGGCATTTTACACTTCTGTTTAGCATATTTAAGATTTATATAAAGTCATTTTTATTTGTGTATCCTGCATAAAAGGTATAGTAATTTTTTCAAACATTAAAAGGTTTTCGATTCAGTGTGCTAACTTGGAGTTAGCGTAGGGGTTATAATCTGGGAATGATAGCACTAATTGATAACATTCTGCTGAGTTGGACAGTTCCAGTCATACTCAGCCACAATGTATTTTTTTACTTATTTGTGCTCGATGTGTGGCATGCATTACAAAGGTGTTATATAATTGAAATGCTTTTTAGCTGAGCAGATTGTATCAGTCAGTAAATCCAGAAATAATTGCTCAGGGTTTAATCAGAACAAGGATTCCGGCCCTTTGGCTAAGCGGGACACAATGAACAGAAATTTGCCTATCAAAACTTTTGATAATTCACACATTGGAATAAATTCAGGTTTTAATACAAGTCTGTAATACGTGTAACACAACGTTTATTTGTGCCTGTTTCAAAATACAAACAAAGGACAATGCCTAGGAATGATGTAGTTCACCTTTAAAATAAAGACAAAAAGCTTATAGTTAATCCTGCATGAAGAGAAGCATTACTTCATTTGTCCCCCTTTGAAAATTTCTAAAACAATGTCCAGTCTTTCAAGGGTATGTAAGGTCTGGTATGGAAGTACAGAAATTTGAAGGATGTGAACCAACTGGGTGTTTTTAGTAGGACAACATTGAATTTTGATGGAAACTAATGTCAGCTGCCAATCAGATGTTGCGCCATCTCTCATACATTAGAGAGGTCAGGATACCTCTGTGAAGCTAGAAACAACATTTATAAATGTATTCCGTGGTACAGTGGAGCCTAGCTGGATGCGTTTGGGTTGGGCAGAGCAGAGAGGTGAGCAAGAAAAGTAGGTTGGGGCTAAGTGAAAATGGAGACAAGGCATGCCGGAAGCAACATCAACATTTCAAACAGTTGAAGGTAAACTTAAAAAAACTAAAAACAGACGACACTACAAGCAGGACTTAATATCCAGGATCATGTTTTGAATTTCATGACACTGAAGCTGAAACAACTGCTTAGCACATAAAGTAACTTCTTGCTTAGCAACCATGTGGGAGCCAGTTACAAGCAGTGCAAATCACATGGTGATTTGACCTGGTAACTTACTCATCCAAACTACAGAGCTAAGGCAATTTGGATGTTCCATGAGACTGGCCCTTGAGATCACTCTACGGGATCTGCCCCTGACTACGAGCAATCTGGTCTTTCAGGAACATAATGCTTGCTTTCTGTTCCGGAGGCAGAAGGTTGATCTGTTCAGGAGACAATTGTAGTACTTGCATAATAAGAGCCGCCTAGAAAAACAAGGGAGTCATGTTTATAAAAGTTAGTCATAAAATGTCTCGTTGTCAGCTTCAAATTCATCTAACACTCTGTTTGGAAATATTGCTGGGTTTGTGAAAAGTCAAAACTTGGTAAGACATGATTTCTTGTAACCGTAGGCAGTATTAGACCATAATACAGGGAACTTAATTATCCTATAGAGGGGGAAGTTAGCGAACTGTTGACCGGTCAAGCCAGCGCTCTGTAGTGAGAGCATGATTATTTCTTGTTACATGTTTTTCGAAAGTATGTGAACTTAAGAACCAAAAACAGATGCCTACACCTCAATGAACACAAGCAAACATCTTTATTTAAAAATAAAACCAGATGACATGAGTGACCGACCTTATCTTGATCTTGCTGTGTAGGTTGAGTGTTACCGAATCCCCCTGGGCCTCCAGGCCCACTGGGTCCTCCTTGAGGTCCACCCTGAACGAAGACGAGACCAAAAAGGCACAATATCAGACATACTATTAGCAAATCTAGGCCTTTTATAAATAAAATCTTCCAATTCACAAGAGGACTTTTCGATAACATTTGTCATTTTAGCACCAGAGACTATTTCAGAAACACAGAGTAACAATCTCTGACCTCACAGATTTAAAATTTACTTCTAGATGGGGAAAGAAAGTAGTGACAAAGCTTTCATAAGCCAGGGATACTCGCACAGTAACGCCAACAGGCTGGATTCAAACCTGCCATCAGCAGTTTTGACTTCACTGCACCAGACAAACTCTCATCATTCTCACCAACTTACCGGCATTCCTCTTTCCAAGACCCTGGGATCGCCAGCCATCATCGGCTGAGTCCTAGGGTCACCTCCTCGACTGTCAAAACCCCTGATATCCTGACCTCTCAGGTCAGGTCGTCTGGGGTCATGTGACCTAGGGTCAGTTTGACCTCTTATGTCTGGCGCTGGACCACGAGGGTCCATCGGGCCACGATGTTCAAATGGCCCACGGTCTTGACCCAACGGCATGCCACGCTGACCCATGTGCTCTGAAAAAATGCAAAGGTCATTTGAAATATTAAAATACCTACTGCCAGTGACAATAAAAGCCATCTCAGTTGGGCAAATGAAAGTACATAGACTTCACTTTCACAACTTATTCAAGGTAAAACTTGAAGCAGCTTTTTCTGAACTAACTGAAGAAGAGCAGCACACCAAGCATCAGTCATTTTTACAGTTCAACTTACCTGTGTCCATTCGGTCCATTCCTATTGGTCCAGACGGGCCCTGTTGCATTATAGGTCCACGGCTGTCGATTGGCCCTCTGTTATCCATTGCATTCGGGCCCAACAAAGGGCGCATCATTCCTCCTACAAATAACACCAAAACTTGGCAGCTTTAGAAACACAATTGAAATTGATTCAACAGAAGAGGTACCGGTGTTTCATCGGCTAGTGAAATTATTCATAAACGGGTGGTTCCTTTAACGGGTTTAGAATAAAAATGCGTCATATTTTGTATTTTTCATTCCATAATGATGAAGACAGGAGTTTGCCTGTTTGAAAGACTAAACTTGCCCAGTCCCTGTTGCCGTGGTATCATCGGTGGGCGCGGCCCACTACCAGTCCCACCCTTCATACTAGTCACAACACCCATACCTGGCCCCTGCCCTGCCAACATGGTTTGCTGTTGTGGCTGTTGTTGTATTGGGTGAGGTATCTGTTGTTGTTGTTGTTGCTGTGTTGGTACACCCATGGCAGGTTGGGGAAGCTCTGGTGGTAGCAGGGCCTGAGGAGCATTGACTTGCTTGTGAAGAAGTGTCTGGCCGGAAAAAAAAAGTCTGAAGGTTAAAATAAGACAACAGCATGCCGAAGATACAGCATGCTTGTATCTGATTGATGACGGTGATATTCCACATGATTCTTAGTAGAGGGATATCCTTGCTTAACAGCTGCGATGTTAAGGGTTACGTCACACACTAAGAGTCTCGGGCCTCACACCCTTGGATCCCAAATCCTTGGATCTCAACAGCTACACCCAACATCCAGCAATCTCAGCATATGCAGTCTGTTTTTACCATTAAACCTACCACTGCTATTTCTGGGTTGACAATACGCATCACCACCTGGGCTTGGAGTAAAGCATATGCAAGTTGTGGATTCTGCAAAAGCATGTTCCTAGCCTCAACAGGGTTATTCTGAATCACCATCTGCAAGTTAAAAAAAAATATTCAAATGTCAACTACATGTACACCGGTTAAGGTGACAGGTGTTGGAGTGAATATACATGAGCCAATTTTTAACAGTAATTTTTGGGAGTTTGACTTTCAATTCTTAGTTCCATTTACCTTCATTTGCTTCATAAGTTCAAACATCTGTTCAGGAGGTAAGCTGGCCACTGCCTTGGAGATGGCTTCAGGTGCTTCATGGGGTGGCACTGCCTCGCCAAACGGAGACTAAACAAGATGATCAAACACAAAAGACCAATGTTAGACAATACTGGCGATTCACATAAAGTGCCTCTGAGAGTTTGCAACGCATTGCCAAATCACAACCCGCGAAAGCTGTCGACCCTTTCCAAATGCGCATTGGATCAACAGATTTCACACTTTGTGATTGGCCAACACGTTGCAAACTCGCACTATTGTGAATCATTTTATCAAGTTTTATCAAGTCTGCCTTTTCAAGCTGTCACAACAGTAGGAAAAAAGTAAAAGGAAAAACTCACTTCACTGGCTGGTGCAGCAGGGACCAAATCTGAAAACCAAAGGGAAAGGATAATGATATGACACTGAGAATTTATAATAGGTGCATCTCCATAAGTCCATTGACAGATTCTTCCAATGTATGGATTATTTTAGTTCTTTCATGTGTAACATAAAAACGACACATTTCACACAAAAAATGAAATTCACAATTCTTTTCAGGACTATTTTGCCCAGGTTTCTGGCAAGACTTTCCATTTTTTCCACTCACTACTCACTTTTCAATTCTTCCTTATTCTTCTCGCTAGCTGCATTGTCCACTCTCAGAGCTCTCCCATTCAGCTCATACCCATTCAAGTTACGCATAGCACTGAGTGCAGTCTCCTGGTCTTTGTACTCGCAGAAACCATATCCTTTTGGTTTGCCGGACTCACGGTCGTAGACTAGACGGAAGCTGATGACGGGACCAACCTCTGAGAAGATGTCTTTAAGTTTCTCCTCAGTTGCATCATATGGAATGTTGCCAACTACAGCAGAGATGGAATGAAAACCAATAAACAAGTGAGCATAGTTTAGACACATGTAGTCATGCACAGCACACATATGGCCCCAAATGTTGTTCAGAAAAACTTGCAATGCAATGCCCCACATAAGAAAATTGTAAGTCTTTTTTCTGTGCTGACAGTTGCTGAGTTGATGTGTCTTTTCGAATGCTGGTCAACTCGTACCCATGCTAACTCGCACACCTACCAATTTGTACCCAAACCAACTCATACGCCGTGTAATTGCATGCGTAGTTTAGTTCATACAAGTGCGATCACGTGCTAGGAATTAGTTCAGCTTTCTGCAAATGTACAAAAAATGTGACTGAAAGCTTTCTTGATGCGCAAGATATATGAAGCGAGAGTTTCAGACAAAAATTTTGATTTTCTTTCCAAGCAACCGGGACCACAAAACCAAAAAAAATGGAACTGGAGTTTTGAAATTTTTTCAAAATCTTTTTCTTAAAATTTTTGGGCGGTATTATTTTAACTATCATTTTCTTATTTCCTAGTTAAAAATACAATTCATTTACTTTTTCTTACTAATGTAGATGTCACAGCCACATGTAAACAGTCTTTGAGCTTCCGACCATCGCAGCGAGTTTGTACATGTACATTTAGTTTTCACGACACGCGGGCATGGTAGGCCTGCTTGAGAGGTGACTTGGACTCAGATTTGATGTTTGGAGTTGGCTCTTTGAAGGTGGAACCACCAATGGTGGGTACCTGCTTCTTTACAAAAGTGGAGCTGCCGATTGAGATTTTTGTTTGGAACCGCAATTCCACTCAGAACCGGAAGTATCGCGCAAGCCTACTTGACATCTTGAAACTACTTCTCAACAAATGTCCCTCAGGTACATAACAGTACATTTTGAAAGTACTTCTCAGTCAGTGGAAAGTCTCTCATACACGAGTTGACGAGGTTGGTTGGTGTATGAGTTGGTCGATGTACGAGTTGGTCGGCGGACGAGTGGACCAATCCGCGCACATGTTGGTTGGCGTACAAGTTGGCTTGCGTATGAGTTGACCTGTTCCCGTCTTTTCCTCCTCCAACAATGTGCCTCACCTGCTCACCATGCTCAAGCCTACACGGTAAATTATATTTAGGCCTACAGCTTGCAAACTTGGCAAATTGGCAGTTTTTGTTGTAAATAATGATACCAATGAGCACTACACCATTTTATGAAAACTACACCGTGAACACATGTACTGCAACAAGTGCAGCTACATTTCTGCCCCATGACCGGTGCACAGATCTGTAATGCCATGCTTCGAGGACAGTTTTTAAAACGTCCAACAACATGTTCCACTTCCAATTCTCGATCATGTCGAGGGCCCCCCTGACTTTGAATAAACAACTGTTTGACTTTGGTTAAATTGTTTGTGAACATGTAGAATGAAACAAAGAACATATTATTCTAATCTTACCGAACACCGATCGAAGAGATCTTTCGATAGCTGACATTTCAGTACCGTTTGCACAACCAAAAGCGAAGAATTTGAGCACCCGACGCGTGGAGCACAATGCACGAATATAATCTACTCTCTGAGGCATGTACATGTAGTCTGGTGCACGATTTCTTGTAATTCTCGCGCTGTAATGTTGCGACAGAATCAGAGGCGTCAGTCAGACCATGTACACAGGGATGACCTGGCCAACTTTCTTCGATTGGTGGCGCGCTGCACTTAATTGACGGTACGGTCAACATAAACAGCCCGTGTCATATGTACGCGATGAGTTGATTGATCTGGTAAATACTAGGTCTACTCATCATCAAATTCTCGATTTCATCGAGAGGCAGCATTGCGATTCCGACTTTCGTAAGAAGAGTTCGTTGAAGACTAAACTTGCAAAGATCTAGTCATCTTAATCATTGAGACTGAAGGGCGATTTTGTTACGCCGCAGACAGCCGGAGCACGGTGAAATTTGTGAGAGAAACGGCGATCGAGTGCTTCAGTTTCTTTGTGTGTGGTCAGTTAAAACACATCGCTGGAGAAAATGGACACCAGGGTGGTCTTTCTTGTTGCATTAGCAACATTCATTTCTACTGGTAGGCCAAACTCTTTTTGCTGTTGACTATTGCCAATGGTTGCTGTGGTCATTTTGATTTCTTTGACAAGAGAAAATTAATGAAAATGCTGTCTGATTTTTGTAGTGAATGAACAGATGAATGAAAATTGGGCTGGAAAATTTTGGAAGAATATAGGAGGTCGATAGTCCGATACTAGTGATAGTGAGGATAGATGCAATTTATTTGAGGCATCACAGAGATAGGGTGGAGGTAGGCCTAGGCCTGTACCACCAGTGTGGAATGCAGTCATGCAACCTTCCCTGGGATCAACTGATTTCCTTGTTTTCCTCTTAACACTCATGCCATTGTTTTGAAAATAGAAAAACACATGTATACAAATTTTCGTGAAGATTAGAATTTGTCCAAGTCCAAGTTGCAGGCCTGGGAATGCCTGTGCTACATGTAAGCTTACTGATGTAATTCATATTGCCCCCATGACTACATGTATTGGGCTCCAGACTCCGCCTCTGAAAGAGAAAGAAGATCAATGCAGTAATGACAGTCATGTTACGACACCAGTGCAGACAGGCAGATTGTCCTTAGATGCATCACAGTCTGCATGACATGTATAGAGAGTAAGGGTAGTTCATTCATTCACTTCACTTTATTTCCACACAAAAGTGGAGGGACCACTAAGAAGCACAGCTTGTCGAGTAAGGACCCCTATACAGACATAACTGGACATGTAGGACAAAAACAATACATAGAAATCATCTACATATAACAATTAACAAAGAAGTGTATTTTAGTGCGTTTACATGAATTCATAGACAAATAAAATAATAAAACCTGTAATCTGTCACCTGTGAGGCTCAGGGATTTCCCTTGTAATTATTCAGTAAGCACTTACATTTCTGTTTAAATAGCGACAAGGTGGGTTAATCTTTTAACAAACCTAGTTGGTTGGTATTGTTAGATTTACTGAGAACAAATAAACTGAATGAAATGAAATAGTTACATAGTGTGACAGGGTAATTTTTATTTCTAAATCTTATTCATATTATAATTAAGTGCAAAAGGTCTTAAACTCCTCAAGAACAATAGTTCTGAGTTTTGTGGAAGCCTTTCAAGACCATCACAACCAGACTTCAATGTTGTGTACACACTTCTGGTAGGATTGAGATCAGCAACAACAACCACTCGTGCTTTATACTTAATTAACTTTCACTTTCAGTTTCTGTGAGTGCCACGAAGGAAAAGAATGTGCCAAGTTTTAGCTTATTTTCAAGCAAGTTGTATTTTTTCAGCTAATAACAAATAATCACACAAAATGCATTGAAATTTGTTGAACAAGCAAGCAACATTGTTATGTACATGTTGCTGCTCTGTATTTATCCGTATACTTTTGGTTTCAGTTTCGTTTTAGCTTTCAATCTGTCATATCACAAGTTTATGGATGGCCTAGGACCTTAGTTTATGTTGGCATTGGGATACACTGATGTACATTTCTGAATTTTTTATATGAGGTCACCAAAAAACTCAGAGTACCTCATACATGTACGGTATGTAATTTCCCCTTGTCACAAGTTTGCCACATGTAAGTCATGTTTCCTGAATCTACTTAAATACGAGAAATTATACACATGTCCCTTCACATTTGTGTACATTGCACTCGATATCACGTAATGGGGACCACGTGTTGAAAGATAGACATTACCTTTTGGGCTACTTATGGAGATGAACCAAAATGGGGACACATTTTTTCCTCGCAACTCAGTCCTGACTTTCCTAAGAACCCTAATTAAAGAAATTGTCCTTTTAACGCGGGGATGGCCTACAGACTTGTGTATGTAGGTTTGTACAACACATCCAAGATATTTTAGGTTGAGATGGTGCACATTCCAAAGGGGGCCCAGGAACCACTTGACTTTGCTCTTTAATGTCAAGATGGTTATTTTATTTTCATTGTCATCCTTGTAGAATGACCAACTGCCTTGTCATCTCATTAACAAACGAGGTATTCAAAAAGCCCTTATTTATTCAGACTTGCCAGCATTTATGGAGATAACTTGATAAATGCTCATTATACATGTACATTGATATGTACATTGTGTACACATACACTATACATTAACTTTGGATTAATGAGAAACCTTCTCATGGTCACTTTTATAACATTTTAAAACCAGATGGATTGTTTCTCACAAGAGAGTAAATATACATGTATGTTTATGTATGACTGGACCAGTTGGATTGTCCTGAATTGTTTGTTGAATGTACATGTAATTTATCCAGACACTCAATGATGTGGCTTTAAAGCGGCAGCAATCGGATTTGGTATAGACTTTGCTGGGGTAATTGCCTACTGAAGCAATGTAATAGAGTATATGGGACCAGGAATGTAAGGTTGAGCACTCTCTAAATGCCAGGGTGATTAGCATAATGGATGGCAGGTCTGGTCATCTATCAAGGATGACTTGTCATTTTGTCTCTGTGTTACTCCATGATGGGAAATCCCCAAGTGAGACATGATTAGCTGTCAATCCCCCAGACAAATCATCAGCCCTCCCCCCTCCCATGGAAAAATGTGCCATCCCCAGAATCAACTAGTAATGTAATGTATCAATCAATTGTTGCTGATCTAGAAATATTACAGATTTTCCAGTTTTAATGAATTCTTTTGGGGCATAGTAGAGAGCAGCATGAATTTCCTTTTATGTGTAATTTCCTTTGCCTTGCATTGCATTTTCCAATATTTAGCTTACACAAAATTTGTAACCACTATATTCCAAATCATGTTCACAGAGAATTTCTCAACAGATACATGCAAGGAAATCAATGACATCAATTCTTACATAAAATCTGTGCAGATTTTGGTTTCCATGGTTACAGGGGTTGATGTCCAGGGCATATAATATTGAAATGTAATTATAATATCATTTGTAAGAATAAAGTGTTCATGTTTGTATAGTTGTTACAATACTCCCCTAGGTCACTAAAGAAAAACTCACTCCAATAATATTCCAGCATTTATGGAGCTTTTCATAGCAATTACATAATGGCCTTGTTTATTTTACAGGTAAGGTAAATATAATGATACAAATTCTTTCATCATATACTCTGAAATGCAGCAATACCACTTTTGTTTTCAAATTTTTCTTGTTTATTGTACACATTGAAATTAACATAAAACTATATGGAATATAACGAGGAAATGAATTGTTTGATCTAGATGTTGTAGTTTATCAAATTCAAAAATTTGTCATGTCCTTGGAAGTCTTGATAAAGATGCTTCCATTTTAGGCAAAAAAATCTCTGACACCAACTGGTCTGATTCCAAATATACAGGCAATTATGGCCACTTCAGCTCTTGCCCGTTAAGCAAACATGTCAACACCACGACCCATACAGAACATGTGTGCAGGTTGACATGGCCTATTTGTTGTGTATGTACACGTATGGGTTAAAACTTACATGTACTCATTAAGTAACTCTGCCTGTATTGCTTGGATTTATTTTAATATTTGATTGACGTT